ACAAGTGAAACACTCAATGTTATGATTTCTCATTATCATGCACATCTTATGTAATCATGCTATTATCTGTTCCTTGATTTAACTTGACCTGAGCAGTTTTTAGTGCCATTTACTGTGAAGCTGTTTCTAATAATCTCCTAGCAGTGTAGTAATAATTATATCAAAGTAATAACCCTCTGGTACAGTTTTACTAACACCAGTAGATAAAATTTCTAACTTGAAGGTAATGCCAACAGGCAATATTTACTCATTCATTTTACTGACTGGGTAGTAGTAAAATTGACTTTAATTAAGAACATTTTTAACTCTACTTACAATTCAGTGACATCTTCCAATACCATATCTGAAATTTAGTGTTAAGAAACTAAACGCATCAGGTTGAATCTATTGTCTCCTACCTTTGAATATTTGTGCTAACAACTAACACGATGTAAAATTTAAATGTGTGATTGTTAGAACCTTATCGTCTGTGGGTACCTACATCTCTAAAAATATCATCAGTTCTCCCAAAGTGAATTTATTTGTATTATAATAATTAATGCTTACTTGTGCTTAATAACATTTAACAGTGGTTCTCAAACTGTGGGTCGTGACCCCTTTGAGGGTTGAACGACCTTTTCACAGGGATCGCCTGATTCATAACAGTAGCAAAATTACACTTATGAAGTAGCAACGGAAATAATTTTATGTTTGGGGGGTCACCACAATATGAGTCGCAGCATTAGGAAGGTTGAGAACCACTGACATATATTAAATAAGCCCCACCCACTGTCACTGAGTCAATTCTGACTCATGGGCAACCTATATAGGGCTTCCAAGAAACAATCCACAAAGGAGCACCAGCTTCATCTTTATCAAGATGTTATTCAACACCTAAGACAAACCCATCATCACCACCTTGTAAAAGGATACTAACAAAGTCATCGAAACCTAGAAGGGTCCCAACAATTTCCTTGTCACTCTTCATCACAATGTGAATTCTTGATCCTATACATTTGTCCACAAGCTCTGGAGACATTAATAAGAATAAAGGAGGAAGAAAAAGATTATTTCATCGATTCATTATGTCAACAATTTGTCTACTGCATAAGGTGAAGGGCACACCAGGGAAAACATCTATTCAACAACTTCAGCTCTCAGACGAGAAATCCCTGGTTCAATCATTAACAGGAGAGTTTTCCCTAATTGCCCGAGCTTTGCTTTGTAGCCATGTGCCATGATTGTGGTTTTCGATGTTGTGATTATTTGACTGATAAACGAACATCCCACTAGACTCTGAGGGCAGAGGCTGCTGTTCTGCTCACCGCTGTCAGCCCCGTGGGCGCTGCCTACAAGATACCAGACACTCCAAAAGAGCTCATCAAACGGGAGGACAGAAACGTGTCTGTCACAGCCATCTCCATTAGCTCAATCACTTCACCAGTCCCCTGACCGGGGCGGCGGCGTCACCACCTTCACAGGGTCCCGTTTCTACACTCCCTGCCTCTCCCAACGAGGTCTAAGTCCTCTGAACACCTGCTTAGCCAGTCTGGTTAGCACTGTTCCCCAGGTGTATGTGTTACCTATTCCTCCACTCACTGGGGTGATTTGACAGTGGTTTTCACTAATGGAACAGTGAACGGTGTCCGCTCAAGAATCGTTTGCCAGATGCTACATGCAACCAGTTTCCAAATCTCTCTTTTAAGTCTCCTTCCGGGGGGTAGTGCCTCTCTCTGTAACCGGGCAGACCTCAGATACCAGAAGGTGTCCTCTGAGGGCCGAGGCGACGGCGACTACAGCGACCCTATGAGGACGGGGCAGAAGTGCCCCGCTGAGGGTACGCGAGCGGAAAGCCCGGTCTTCGTCCGGCGGAGCCAACGGTGGTTTCGAGCTGCGGGTCCTCCAGATCACACCCCGACTCGGAGCCACCGCGCCCCTGGGCTCCTGTGAAGCCGGGCCTCACGCGGACCTCCCACGCTGAGGGAGTAGTGGTCGGGGGCCAGACTTGGAGCGAGATGAGCCCCAGGAGGAAAGAGCAACTGGGCCCGTATTCCCCCCACTCCGCCGCCCAGACCGCAGCGCTTCCGCCCGAAGCCCTGCTCGCCGCCACCCCGCGGCTCCGCGGACGACGCTCACCTAGAGGCAGCAGCTGCGACGGGTTCGTAGTAGCGTTCGCCGCCATGGCTACGCCGGAAGTGGGCTGCCTCTGCCGACGTCGCGACGGCAAGTTTGAAAGAGCGCGCTTCCGCTTTCCGTCTCTGCTCGGGCAGGCTCGACCAATCTGAGGCCGAGCAAGTGATCGGGCCGAGGCCACGTGTCTCACTCACGGCCGCTCGCTTTGTGAGAAGCGTGTCTCTGACCAGTGAGCGTCTGGCTGTCTTAGGGAGATGCCGACCGTCCCTCGAAATCCTAGAGATGCGACACGGGTACCTTGCCTTGGGAATAAATGCTCCCGCTAACCCAGAAGATTTTGAAAAAGCCAAATCTTTGAGTCGTTTTCATTGCACCTCTTCTAAAACCAGGCTTTTTTTTTTCTTCAGACTAATCGATTTCGTTTCCCCACCCACCAACTAGCTCACTGTCTTGCAATATTTTTATTTTTTTAAAAAATATGGTAAATTTAGATGGAGAGAAAATGTTTTGAGAAATGATGTACAGATGCGCTTTGCACAGTTGATGTGTGTATGGATTGGGATGGCGGTTGTATGAGCCCCTAATAAAATGTTTAAAAAAAATAGTAAATAATATCAAAAAATAAATAAATAAATAATATGGTAAGTATTAAGATAGCAGATGGACTTTGGGCCTCTACTTAAAGCCTCCTTTAACACAAGAACAGTTTGTTCTGATAACCTGGTACTCTTTGATGCTCACCTTCCGGACATGATCGCTGAAGACAAATGGGTGCATAAGCAAATGTGGGGAAGAGAGCAAATGGTGCACAGCTATCAAAAGATACAGAGTCTGGCGTCTTAAAGGCTTGAAGTCAAACAATCGGCCATCTATCAGGGAAGCGAATAAGCCTATGTGGAAGAAGCACACCAGCTTGTATGATCATGAGATGTAGACGGGATCAGGCAAAAGGTATCAAAAGATCCAAAACAAACAACTATATGTGAAAGAGGAAGATTGGAGTGGAGACCCAAAGCCCATCTGTAGATAATTGGATATACGCCCCCACAGAAGTGGTGTAAGGAAGGGATAATTCAACCAAGATGTAGTATAACACCAACTAATCACACATCATTCCTCTAGTACCTGAATGCTTCCTCCTCCCTACTACCATGACCCAGTTCTACCTTGCAAATCTGGCTAGACCAGAGAACACACATTGGTACAGATAAGAGCTCCTGACACAGGGAATTCAGGAAAGATAAACCCTTCAGGAACAGTAATGAGAGTATTGCTATCTTGAGGGGAGGGGGGTGGTTAAGGAGGAGGAAGGGTGAGAAAAGGGGAACCCATCACAAGACTGGTTATATAGCTGCCACCACCACCCCCAAGGGGACAAATAAAGGAAATGTGGGTGAAGGGAGACAAAGGACAGTGTAAGATAAGAAATAACATTAGCAATATATAATTGATCAAGGATACAGGAGAGAGGGGTGGGGGAGGGAGGGAGGAAAAGAGGAGCTTATATCAAGGGCTCAAGCAGAAAATGTCTTGGAAATGATAATGGCAACATATGTACAAATGTGCTTGATACAATTGATGTATGGAATGTTGTAAGAGCCCCCAATAAAATGGGGGGGGGGACTTCTTAGAAATTCTATTTTGACCTCTTGACAATGGTCACTCATCTGGATGATGTGTGCGTCTTTGTGTTGTCTGTCTTTTTAAACTTAATAGAGATTCTTCTAAAACTATATTTAAGATTGGGGATTCTTTTCTACTCTAAAATAAATGGCATCGTCGGAAAACATGATTTCAAAGCTGACTTTCCTGGCGGGATCTCTGGAGGGTCTAGGATACGCGACGCCAGAAAAAAGGCACTTTCCTTCACATTCCCGGGGGTCATCAGAGACTTGCAAGGGCAAGCACTCTTGGAATTACAAACCGTGTTTGGGGGCTTTCACAAACTGAAACTGGCCTCGAGAAAGAGATCATTGGTAAAGCCTTGGAAAAGGCTGCAGGAAAAGAGTTCCTGGACTCCATCTTGGAACTTTGTAAATCCCAAGGCCCTTTGGACGTTGAAGAAGCTGCTGTGGCCGAGCTGCCAAATGTGTCATCCACCCTCACATCCCTCAGCGGGGCTCTGACAAATGTGAAGAACAGCTTGAAGTTGCTTGTTAGCAGCAGGGAGCAAGAAGCTAAAGTCTACCAACAGTCTCATCTTTTCCCACTCATAGAACTCACAGTGCATTGTGGTGGTGGGAGGAGGCTCTGCAGGAGCAGAGATGGCAGCAGGTATGTAGGCCTTGCTTCATGGAGGGGGCTGGTGATGTTGGTCGTGACACTGTTGGCATAGAAGCCAGCATGAAAGACCATCTTGGGCTCCTTGACTTCCCCATGTCACCAATGCCATAGACGTTGCTGGAGGGCTACCTCCACCTGGAGGTATCATTAACTCACCCAGCACTTTTGCTGGCCAGTTTGCTCTTTAGCCACAGCTGCACCCCTTACGGGAGAAGGTTCTCCTTCACTCTCTGGCAGGCTCTGTTGGGTCATCTTTCTTTGGAATGGGTACAAATATAGATCTCTTCCAGTCAGTTGGCCAAGTAGCTGTCTTCCAAACGCCCTGGCTTAAACAAGTGCCTGTTTCTAGTGCTTCATCAGCTGGTTGAAACTTTCCATCCATTCCAGGAGCCTGGTTTTTGGCTAATGCTTTCAGTGTAGCTTGAACATCTTCGTTCTGAATCGTTGGTTCTTGCTCGTATGCTACCTCCTGAAATGCTGGGAAATCCACTAGTTCATTTTGCTAAAGTGACTCTTTTCCAACTTCTTTTTGGTGCTTCTTGCATCATTCAATATTTTATCCATAGAATCTTTCAAAATTGTAACTCAAGGCTTGGTTACCCCAGGTAACCATCAAATTCTGTTTCTTTTTTTAATCATTTTATTGGGGGCTCGTACAACTCTTATCACAATCCATATATCCATCTATTGTGTCAAGCACATTTGTACATGTTACCATCATCATTCTCCAAACATTTGCTTTCTACTTGAGCCCTTCGTATCAACTCCTCATTTTTCCCTTCCCTCCCCTCCCCGCTCCCCTTCCCCCATGAACCCTTGATAATTTATAAATTATTATTATTTTGTCATATCTTACACCATCTGACGTCTCCCTTCACCCACTTCTCTGCTGTCTGTCCCCCAGGGAGGAGGTTATATGTAGATCCTTGTAATCTGTTCCCCCTTTCTCCCTCACCTTCCCTCCACCCTCCCGGTATCACCACTCTCACCACTGGTCTTGAGGGGTTCATCTGTCCTAGATTCCCTGTGTTGCCAGTTCCTATCTGTACCAGTGTACATCCTCCGGTCCAGCCGGATTTGTAAGGTAGAATTGGGATCATGATAGTGGAGGGGGTGGAGGGTGGAAGCATTCAAGAACTAGAGGAAAATTGTATGTTTCATCATTGCTACACTGCACCCTGACTGGCTCATCTCCTCCCTGCAGCCCTTCTGCAAGGGGCTGTCCAGTTGCTTACAGATGGGCCCTGGGTCCCCACTCGGCACTCCCCCTCATTCACAATGTTATGTTTTGGGGGTTTTTAGGGGGGGCTCTTTGATGTCTGAGACCTGATCCCTTCTACGCCTTGTGATCTCTTAGGCTGGTGTGCTTCTTCTATGTGGGCTTTGTGGTTTCTCAGTTAGATGGCCCCTTGTTTATCTACAATCTGTTTCTTTTGCTATGAAAATCCTGACTTTTTTTTTCCCCAACAGTGGTCTCAAACAACATTTGTCCTTTTGAGTTTGACTAACATCACTCAGCATGATGTCCTCCAAATCCATCCATGTCATGAATTGTTTCACAGTTTCATCGTCAGTCGTCAACAGTGCATAGTATGGCATTGTGTGTATGTACCAACGTTTTTTTATCTATTCCCCCACCGATGGTCATTTAGGTTGTTTCCATCTTCTTGCTATTGTGAATAGCGCTGTGATGAACATGCGTGTGCCTGTATCTGCTCATGCAATGTTCTTTATTTCTTTAGAGTATTGAGCAAGTAGCACTATTGCTGGGCCACATGGTATTTCAATTCCCAATTGGTTGAGGAGGCACCATACCACTTTCCACAGGGGTTGTGCCTTTTTACAGTGCCATCAGCAGTGTCTGAGGGTCCCAGTCTCTCTATGCTCCCTTCAGTGTTGTTGTCTGCTACTTTTCTTTCACCTCCGTGGTGAGATAGTATCTCATTGTTGTTTGAGTTGCATCTCTTCAATAGAGGCGGGTCATCAGCACTTCTTCCTATGTTGTTGGCTGCCTGACTGTCTTCTTCAGTAAATTATCTGTCCAGGTAAATGGTTTCCCTTTGGTCTTCTGCTGGCTGATGGTTCTGAAGATTAGATTCTTTGTGGGTGTTACAGTTCACTCTCTAGGTCTGTTTATTGTTAGGTTGAAAGGTGGTCGGGTTCAAGTCCAGTTTTGAAAGACGTCTAGGGGCCATAGTCTCTGGTGCTCCACCAGTCTCTACCAGACCAGTAAGTGTGGTCTGTTTTAATTTTGTTCTCTGTTTTCATCTCATCCTGTCTAGAAACTTCTCTGGTGATCCTGATGAGAGCTATCAATAAAGGTGACTGAGCACCTTCTTGTTTTCCTGGTCTCAGGTTCAGGGAGTCTGTAGTTGGTGGGATCTATTAATCCTCTGAACTAATTGTTTCCTTGGTTTTGTAATCTTATTCACTCCTTGCTTCAGTCTGGAAGAGACTAGTAGCTGTATATTACCGTGTTTCCCCAAAAGTAAGACATCCCCCCAAAATAAGACCTACTTACAGTTTTGCCTCTCGCTGAAATATAAGGCACCCAAAAAAAATAAGACCTCCCCGAACATAAGGCCTCCCCAATAATAAGGCCCCCAAAGCTACCATAACTCTGGACTCTGGACCTTAGTGGCGGGCGCCGCCACGCAGCTCACTGTTGGCCGCAGCACAGCTGGAGCAGACAGGAAGTGCGAGGTCTCTTTTAATAAAACAATAAACAATAAATGTGTACTGTATTCTTCTTCATGGAAAAATAAG